GGGGGCCAGGATCCGCAGCCCCAGCTCCCAGCCTCGGCCTTGGCAACCTCCTGTCTTAAGTACCGACCTTGGCAACAGGTCTAGGCCTTAAATGAGAAGTTGGAAGAACAGTTTCTATCCTTAGATTGGTGTCTCTCCCCTCCGTGTGTATGTGTGTGCGCGCGCGCGCGTGCGTGCGTGTCTGTGTGTGTGTGCGCGCGCACGCGCGCATCTGCAGGTCCTAGAGTGGAAAAAAGTGGGAGGCAAACTATCAACAACAGTGTCTGTGTGGCGCGTGTTAAGGACAGGGTTATTCCCAGCCTTCTAGTAAAGTGTAAAGTGCCATCTCCGCCCTCGGGGACTGGGAGAGGTGACGAGTCTAGGGTTCCCGGAGCCGAGCTTGGGCCCAGGCACCGCCTGACACCTAGCGGCTTCCCGAGTTCTGAAGTGGCGAGAGCAGAGAGCGAGAGGCTAGAGACCGGGAACCAAGGCGCCGAACCCGCGTGGCTAACATTTCCACTCCACGCTGGTCCCGAGCCGGTTCCGAAGCTGCGGGAACTCGGGTAGGGAGTGTGGGTCGGTGAGGTCGCAGTGCGCCCCCGAGTGCCCGCGCCTGGCGGTACTTCCGGCGCCGGTGACCGTCGCCTCCTCGTGAGCGCTGCCGCCGCCCCGCCGCCGCCCCGTCACCATGGCGACGCCGTCACTCCGAGGCCCGCGGAACCGGCAGAGCGGCCGGGACGCAGCGCGGCGCCGCGGGGACGCACACAGGCCTGGTGGCGGCGGGACGAGGTAGGCGACAGGGCGCCGGGGAGCCAAGTTCCACGCGGAGGGACGGCGGGGACTGCGGCCAGGCGACGCCGGGCTTCGAGCCGCTCTCCCGCGCGCACCTGCCCGCACCCACCCGGGCGCCGCCCCGCCTGTCCCCGGCAGTGGCTCAGGGAGGTGGCGGCCTGGCGCGGGAGTTCCTGCTGCCAGGAACCCGGAAAGGCGGCCCTGGAATCTCGGGCCGCGTCTCTGCTGGAGTCGGAGTGGGGGCCTGTGATTATTATCTAGAAGCAAGTGGGTGGGAGAGGACCTGCGTTAGCCCCGACCGTTCTTAGCCGAACTCCCGCACTGTCCCCGAGGCTGGTTCCTGCGCTCAGGTGCGGGCCAGGTAGATCGTTTCTTCTGCAGCCCGCCTTCCTCGGGTGGGGTTAGGAGTTCCTAGGCTGGCAGAAAGCCTGGCTTCATGTTTTGGCCTTGGAGATGACGCAGGTGCAGAACTTCTTGGAAGGAGGGATCTGCTGTCGCCTTTGACATTTCCGAGTGGTGGCCTGGCCACCTCCCCTTTCAGGTCTCTTCTCTTACCCCCACCCCTGAGCTGCATCACAAGTCACAGAACAGTCTTGGTGGACTCTGGCTTCCCTTTTGGTTGCCATTCTGTCTTGGCAATCTGAGAGTTTTCTAAAATTCTTTAAAAGTTCTTGGATACTGCCCTGTGCTTTTCACAGCAAAACACAGCCACTGTCCCTGGTGGGCAGAGCCCAGGCTTCTTGAACTCACAGAGATCTGAGCACTGGGATTAAAGAACACCATGCCAGGCTTCACTCTCCATTTTCGAATCAACTCATTATTAATTAGAATACAAGTGAGAGTGTAAAATTTCAGAGATTAAAGCTACCATCTGGGACATGTGTGGTGACAAGTGGCTGTGATCCTAGCATTTAGGAGGCTGATGCAGGTGACTGCAAGTTTAGAGCCAGCCTGGGCTACGGAGGGAGATCCTGACTCAATGCCACTCCCCAACAACAATAACTAAAAGCAGACTGACATTCTTCCATGCTCCAGAAGTGTCTGTTCTGTAGGGGCATGGGTTGGTGGTGTCCTCAGGAGGGGTTTGTACTGTGGGTACCCTCGGGGTCTGCCGCCCCCTCCTCATGTGTAGTCGCGGCCACTAGACCTTCAGGTGGCACCGATTTTGGGCCGAGCGCTCACCAGGTGGCAGGTACTGTATTAAGCACGTGTGCATGTTTTTCCCATTTCACTTCTCTGTGGTCCAGTAATGTGGGTCTCCATGTCCCTCCCCCTTACAGTTGACGGGGCCAGCTCAGAGAAGGGACATGGCCTTCCTGATAGAACACACTTTGAATTGACATCTTTGTGGTCCAGGCTGTATTGTAACTCTGGGATGTGTTAGGTGCTTTGGCGTCCATGGGGCCCTTCCTCCATGAAAATAAATACCAACATTTTCAAATTACATTGCTATAAAGACAGTATACGTATTGCATTAAAACTTAAAACCATTTCAACCCTTAAAGCTCGCCTCTCCCCTTCTGAAATAACCCATCTGTTTTTAGCTGCTGTGGGTTCTGGCACAGAGTAGGGCCACTTTCTGGCTGGAGCACCCTGGGTGCCCCATGCAACAGCTCAGCTTCTCTGTGCCTTCTGTCTCATCACATTTTAGGATCTCACCCATCAAGGAAAACTCTAGTCCCTGCCCCCACTGTCGTCTTTTCTAACTCAATTAAAGCCTGCGGCTGATAGGGAGAGCTGTGGCCAAGCCCGGTTCCCTACTGTCCAGCTTTCCCCTGCTCCGCCTGCTGCCTGCTGGGCTGTACCACATGTGCAGTGTCTGGTACCAATAATGAGGTTAGGCATGGTTGCCTTTTAATAAAACACAGTGGTCTGGAGAGGGAGCGTGATGTTCAGCACAGGCTAAGCCCTGCGGGGAGCTATGTCCTTGTGTGATTGCATTAAGTGGGAGCCGGTCTGCAGGTGGCGCGTGGAGACTGGGGTGTATCTATTTGACTGTCACAGCCCAGAGACCTGGAACCCCCCCTGCATTCCCAGAAAGGAAGGAAAGTAGCCATGTAAGGGGTCGCATGAGCCCCCCATTCCTTGCAAGACTCTAGTGTGAACCGAGTGTGACGTTGTAGTCGGGAGGCTGAGGCAGGGGAATGTCGAGTTAGAAGTCAGCCAGCCTAGGTTACATTGTGAGAGCCTGTCTTGAGAGAAAGAAAAAGAAAGGAGAAGGAGAGAGAGAGAGAGAGAGAGAGAGAGACAGAGAGAGAGACAGAGAGAGAGACAGAGAGAGAGACAGAGAGACAGAGAGACAGAGATGCGTGAGGGATCCGAGAGACCCTAGGGTCAAGGGTGGCCATTTCCAGGCTGTGAAGCCATGGCCCACTGTTCTGCTCTGGGAACACAGGCATCCACCTTAGAAGGGAAGGGTAGGGTGTCCTCACTGTTGGATGACCAGGGACCATGATGCAGACTTACAGGGGAACAACTCCTGCAGATGCAGACATGCCACAGGCACAGCCTTGGGGACATCTGCCCGGGGCACAGAGCTCTTAGCTGTCCTGAACTAGCTACAAGGGGAGCAGTTTACTAAAGGGTTCCATGCGGCACAGGACAACTCGCCAATTGTTTTGGAAACAGAGTCTTCCTATGTATCCCAGGCTGGGCTGGAACTTGGAATCCTCCTGCCCTAGCTCCTGAGCACTGGGATTGTAGCTGCCTGGTACTGCTCTATCTCTCCTGGGATTCCAGGTTTTGCATATATAGCACTGGCTGGATGAGTCCCCTGCAGGCAAGCCATGATAGTCCCCTCTCACAGCTTACTCTTACCTTCGCATCAAATGTGGCCACATTTCCAGAGGCCAGTGTGCCTCCCTTCCTCCTCAGGCCCGCCTTCTCGCTCCCAGGACTGTTCGGCTGGGCGTCCTACCTGGGAATAAACTGAAATTGATACACTGTTGCTGGCTCACCCACTCCCCTTAACCCCTTTTCTCCTGCTGGTACCGCTTTCTCCTGGAGAGCTACAGGCAGGGCCCGGGCTTGGCCCCATGGCGGTACTGAGGGTGAGCAGGAACTAGACTCGCTTCTTCAGCAGGGGTCACCAGAGCCTTGAGTGGCTTAGGTGTTTGGAAAGTGTGACAGTGTCACCCTAGTTACTGGGCGTTAGGAAGTTCAGAGCCATAGTGCTGGTGGGAGACCTGGACCACTAGGGAGGAGACCCAGAGGAGTGTGTCCTTTGTCAAAGGATGCCGTCTTTCCCCTAGTCTGCTGGGGTTGCCTTGAGTTTTATCCCCTACCCCGTCTTTGCCAGTGTGGAGACTGAATCCAGGGCCTTGAGTGTAGGTCCAGCAAGTGCTGCTGACACTGAGCTACATCCTCCGCCCTCTACGGCCCTTCTTGTAACAAGTACTACTATCAATGCCTGCTGCTGCCAGGCCCTAGTCTTTCTGTGGGGTTCCAGCATCTAACAGTGCCAGCAATAAGCAGGGGCAGCCAGTGGAGCAGCCACTCGCTGGTGGTAACTTTGAGCACGGCCTCTATTGTGTTTGAGCCCCTACTTCCCTGTCTGTTACATCGGGTAACAGTCTTGTTATGCTCACAGTATTGCTGAGGGTTAAACAGACAGGTAAAAACGCCTGACGCAGAGCAGAGCGTGGGGCTCACTGGCTGTGGGTCCCGCCCTCCTCGTGCATACAAGGTCTGCCTCACCCTGGGGTGCTGTGCACAGGCAGCGTGTGGGTGCTCACCCCACAGGGGATTCAGGACAGGATTTCCGGTATGGGATGGTAAAGCCACCCTCTCATTCATCACCGCGTGGAGAGGCTTTCACAAGGAGGTCTCTTTTCACGAGACTGACCAGGGCAGAAAAAGCAGGCAGATCTGCCCTGTGTATTGTACGAAGCATGACGAAGCTGTGGCGGGTCACCTGCCCCCCTGCTCTTCCTCCCGGGTAGCTAATCAGATTCTGCTGTGCATCGGGCTCAGAGAGATGAATCTAATAAGTGGGGAGGGACCTGGGAGGAGGCAGGACAAAGGACTGCAGGGGGATAGCATTCTCTGTTGGGCACCTGCCGAGTCCTGGAGAAGGGTGGAGGGACCGTCTTGGCTTCAGGGTTAGGACAGGACACTTTGGTAGAGAGCATCGTGGGATTCATCTAGAGCAGAACCCAAGAGGGTAAGGAAGTGTGGGGGAGCCTTGGGGGCTGAGGAGGGGCTGGAGCTACACTTGGGGACAAGTAGTGAGCAGGATGCCATTGCCCTGGAGTGAATCTGCAGGGCAGTGCAGGCAGGGAGGAGCCGAGAGCAGGAAGCTGGACTTCACCAGGAGGAGGGGACCAACAGCGGGTTTTGTTGCTAGTCCAAGGGAACTCAACCCTCCTCCATGGGGACTTGGTGGGGACATAGTGGGGCTGCAGAAGGACAAGTTAGGATCACGTGGCAGCTGGCTTTTCTTGGGATGCACCCTGGTGTGTCAGGCAGATTGAAAAGGGAGAGGCTTGTGTCCTGATCCAGTAGGGCAGCAAAGATGGCTGAGGAGAAAGTCATGACAGAGACCTTCCATAGACCCCCTGAGCAGGAGGAGGGCAGCCATGGTTATCTGGGAGCTAGAGAGGGCCTGGCTGTGATGGGAGAGGACACTGGTCTTGAATGAGGCTGACGAGTCAGTGGGGGTGGGCATCTGGGGGAATGCAGAATTGGCATGGGATTGTGCAGTCACCTGTGTGGGGACAGATAGGAATAGCAGCAAGAGTTCCAGGAATAGGGGGTTTCTCCTGGCTACAGCGTCAGAAATAATTCTCACACAGCAGGGATGACTGAATTCGAGAAAGGGGCTAGTCTGCTTCACACAAGTCCCCGAGTGGTATCTAGTCTATGAAAGCTGAGAGCCAGCCTCCTGTATGATCAGTGTAGGACCGCAGAACCAGCCAACAGGAGTTAGGGGCTCAGCTGGAGACTGAGGTGAGTACAGTGTGGTAGTATGAGGTTGTCGAATCAATGAGGCAGAAATATGTTCATCTACATGAAAAGGTGTGTGTGTGTGTGTGTGTGTGTGTGTGTGTGTGTGTGTGTGTGTGTGTGTGATGCCATTACATTCAGATGGGTTAGAAGATGTCCTGGGCCTGTTTCTATGAAAAGTGTATGTGTATTTCTGACAAATGCATGTGGGGATGGGGTGACTTGCTTCTGTCTGTTCACAGAGTGTATTATTAACCACCTTGTTCTTCTTTTCAAATGGAGGAGTTGCTGTTGGAGAACTGGGAGGCGGAGCTGGAGCTGACCAGGCCCCAGCACAGCCAGAGTGGGGAAGCGGCTGCCACACTTTCTGGTACCCACTGCTGCTGGGAGAGGTGGTTGGCTGGGAGGAAAGCCCTGTCTGTCTAGGGAGGGGACAACAAGTTGGAGCCTGATGTCCCAGTGGTGGTGGCATTGGTGGTAGTCGTGTCCAGCCAGAGTAGGACCTCTGTGATCAGTGCCAGCCACGGAGGCAAAGGGAACAGGTGCTCCCCTCCACCCGTTACCTTGTGGGGACAGGAGAACATGCAGGGGAAGGGTTGAGAGCTGGCCTTTTGTCCTGCATGGGGAGGTTGTATGCATCAGAGCCTCTCAAGGGTCTCCCGGTAAGGCGGCGCCTCCTTACATAGCGGCATACATGCTGTCTTCCTGCACAGGTCACCGGCAGTCAGCAGGTGGATGGGGACATGAATTCTGCATGTGAGGACACATTGCTAGGGCCCCTAGTTCTGGAAACCTCTCCTGAGAGAGGACAGCACCCTCTCCCACCCTTGGTGTGGGAAGGAACTGGAAGGGACAGATGGGCTTCCCAGCTGGCCTGTGGTCTGGCACAGCGGGGCAGAACACAGCTACACAGAACAAGGGGTACCCATGCTGGCTCTTAGGCTTACAAATGGAAATGTAGCAAGGCTCCCACTTCCCGCTGGAGAAGGGCTCTCCCATCCATCCGGAGAAGGCAGTGGCAAACCAGCACCTCCAGGGAATATACACATCTCTGATGTATCCATCAGCCCCACCCCAGAAAAATCCAGGGCCTCAGGAAACAGGAATTATAACTCAGGGATGGCGTCCATGCTGTCATCAGAACTTTTTAAACGTGTGTCCTCCCTTGTACACAGAACCCAGGTCAGGTTTGTGGGGAGGCCTGCCTCCTGCCGAGGTGTTCCTGGGATTTGGAGACTCTGCCCCAGGATGATGGCAGGCGTCTTGAAGGTGGGAGAGTGAGTGTGCACAGCTTAGCCGCTGGGGTGGAGGAGCGGCAGCTGCCACGAGGCAGGTTGGACCTTTTGAGGGTTGTGGATGGCTCCCTAGAGCTCTGTCTCTCCTGCAGCTGAGGTGTCAGCATGGAGCACAGTGCGGCCTCCGCCCCTGCTACACTGCCGTACTATGTGGCCTTCTCCCAGCTGCTGGGCCTCACAGTGGTGGCTGTGACTGGTGCGTGGCTGGGTCTGTACCGAGGTGGCATTGCCTGGGAAGGCTCCCTGCAGTTTAATGTGCACCCGCTCTGCATGGTCATAGGCATGATCTTCCTGCAAGGAGATGGTGAGTCCTACGGGTAGTCCAGGGAAGGGAGCCTGTGGTTGGAGGGTGACAGGTGCTTCTGCAGGTGGCATCGCAGGGGCCACGGCTGCCTTCTGCAGCAGAGTCAGCTCGGTTGTGAGCTAGACTACCATCAGGGGCATCTGGAAGCTGGGAAGAGTAGACACGTGTGCATGTGTGCATTGTTGAAGGGGGCATGGCTGAGCTAGAATGCCTGTCCCTGGGATAAGAGCCAGCAGGTGCTTGGCCTGAGCACAGCCTACCAGGAGCTGGATGGCGGGGCTCGGGGGCAGGGCGGAATAGGACAGGGCAGCCACCTCCCAGCGGCAGGTCCTAGTGATGCCGCCCTCTCCCCCTCCAGTAGCAGTGAGGATTGGACAGGATCCCATTAAGCCTTGAAGCTGGGAGTCTGCCTGCCAAGAGCAGTGAGTACCTATCTAGGAAGGCTCCAGAATCGCACTCTCTGCTAATAGGTACACTGAGTTTGGCCAGCACTGCAGTTTGACTGCCTAATGAATCCTGAACACCTAAATCAACACCTGGCGAGGCCAAGTGTCTCCTGAGCCTTGCGGTTGCTTTGAGTGGATAGCAGGGCAGAGTGCTGCCTTTGCTACCCCTGATGGTGGCAGGAAACGTGGCATGGCCTCCTCCCCTGGTCCTTGAGTGTAGAAATACCCAGGGGCACCGTTGACCAAAAGCAGGATGGGTGCAAGGTCCCTATGCAGTCCCGTTTTCTCCGCCAGGGCTGTGACTGGCAAACCTTGACAAGCTCTTGGCGCAGACCTTTGTCCAGCCAGTCAGGCTTCCTTGTGTGTCCAGCACAGGCCTACCCACTTAATGCTTTATCTCGCTCCCCACAAGCTCTGCTGGTATACCGCGTCTTCAGAAAAGAGGCCAAACGCACGACCAAGGCCCTGCACGGGCTGCTTCATGCTGTTGCCTTCATCATTGCCCTGGTGGGTGAGTTCACGGGGACAGCCTTCCCGTCTCCACCTGCTGCTTCAGGCTCCAGCAGCTGCTGCTGGATATACGGTCCCTACTCCCGGCTTCCTGGCCTCGCCCCACTCTCCTCTTCACAGGCATCCCAGGCAGGGACACTGGATGCTAGCCATCATCAGGCTGGACCAAAGCCCAGAAGTTCTGGCTAGCAGTTTCCCCCGGGTCTCCCCTCCTCTTCCTTCTCCATGTCCAGCCCTGTCCTCACATGGCCCCTGCCTCTGCTGCAGGCTTGGTGGCCGTGTTCGACTATCACAAGAAGAAGGGCTATGCTGACCTGTACAGCTTGCACAGCTGGTGTGGGATCTTAGTCTTTGCTCTTTATTTTGTGCAGGTGAGTCTAGCTCCAGCAAGGGGTGGGGAGGAGGGTAGTGGGCCTCAGGTGTGCCATAAAGGGGCCCAGTTCTCAGGGTGCATGTTCAGAGGAGAGCGCGCAGGTCAGTTTAGTTGGATGCTGCCTTTAGAGGCTGAACTGGGTATCGGCCTAGGACTCTAGAGGTCAGGGTGCCCCAGACCCCTTTGCCCTTCCCACCGACTCTGTCCAAGTGTTGAGTCACGTGCCTTGGCTTCCTGGGTCCATGGGGGTGATGAACACTGTTGGAGGTCTAAGGCCTCAACGCTACAGGCATCTGAGGGGAAGCAGGGTGCTTTGGTGGCCTCCAGTTAGTGAGGTCACAGCCTGCTCCTGGCTCAGGAGAGCCCTCTCTCTCTCCTTTTAGTGGCTCGTGGGTTTCGGCTTCTTCTTGTTCCCTGGAGCTTCGTTCTCTCTGCGGGGCCGTTTCCGCCCCCAGCACATCTTTCTTGGTGCCACCATCTTCCTCCTTTCTGTGGGCACAGCCCTGCTGGGCCTGAAGGAGGCGCTGCTCTTCAAGCTTGGGTGAGTGTCCCCAAGAGGCGGTGCCCAAGTGCCCTCTGCCTCACTAGAAGCCTCCCTCTGAGCTGGCTTTTCTCCTTGTGGGGGTGGAAGGGCTGGCACTGGGAAACTCGAGGCATCTTTAAGGCCTGGGCTGCATTTGTCCTAACTGGGACCCCTGGTGGCTTCTCCCTTCTACCCTACAGGACCAAGTACAGCACGTTTGAACCTGAGGGGGTCCTGGCCAATGTGCTGGGCCTGCTGCTGATCTGTTTTGGGGTGGTTGTACTCTACATCTTGGCTCAAGCTGACTGGAAGCGGCCTTCCCAGGCTGAAGAGCAAGCCCTCTCCATGGACTTCAAGACACTGACAGAGGGAGACAGTCCCAGTCCCCAGTGACAGCCTTGGGTGCTCCTCCTGGTTCTGTGGGTTCCCAGATGTCCTTCTGCGCCTCCCTGCAGAGCCTGAGTCTTTAGGTCCAGGAGTGCGGGGCTGCGGTGTTAATTTGGTGGGGTTCCAGGTTTTGGGGCTGTCCTCTGCGTTCCCTTCCTCGCTTGCAGTTTTTGATGCATTCTGTGGCCCATGTGTGGGCCCTGCCTGTACCCCGTTACCCATTCACATGCAGAAAAATTGGTCAGGGGACCTAGGGGTCAAGCCTGGTCCTGATCCTTAGAGGAGCTGGACTATATATAGCTCCACCCACCAGGCAGCAGATGGCTGGGTTGAGCCTGAGGGACTGGCATGGTAAAGCCAAGACTTCTGCTTGTGCATTCGACCCAGGAGTCCTAGCAGCTCGGGAAGCACACGCCCTCAGCAGTAGAGCATGTGATATTATGTGTAAAGTATGCTGGTGTTCAGAATATGGTTCCCCAGAGGGGTTCAGTCCGGCCCCTGAAGGAGCCCTGCCATGTGGCTTGGCCACAGAACCGGACCTTTCTGTTCTTTAATTCCTGAGCCTTAAACAGGCTTTTCTGGGAAGAGGATAGATGCTCTGGGTGCAGGTACATACCTGCCCTGGTGGGTGAGGGCGGGGCTGCTGGCAGTGAGGGGCCTCCTGGCCTCCAGCCACCCTGGCAGTTCTTCCTGCCATGGGGAGTTGAGCCCTGGTTCCTTCTGCAGGCCAGCCCAGGCAGGCTCTCGGAGGAGAGGCCACATGCCTCCTGGGTTTTTAGAGGGGTCCTGCTGTTTGTCTTGCTCTCCGGGGAGCTGCTGGGGTGCCCTGGCTTGCCTGAAGCAACCATGGAGGGTCACTGTCCTCCCACATCTGGGTCCATCTTTGCTGGACAATAGGACTGAATTTAAGAAGAGGAACGGGATCTGTCTCCTGTGGCATCTGCACACGGCTTCAACCCCTACTGCCTGTTGTGTTGTTAGCTGAGTCACTGTTTGGCTAGAGTCTAGAAATAATGTGATTAGAGCAATGATCTTGTGCTTCTTGGGCTTGGCAAATGCTCTCTCCTCTTGGTCTTTGAGGAACATCGTGCTTTGTGACAGATATGGTTAACTTAACCAGCCTGACAATTCCTTTAGGTCAACAGGCTGGCCTTCTGTCAGATTTCTAGTAACTGTGCCATTTTTCCTGCTTCGGGCGATGTCTCTTTCCCCAGATGTGGTGGAGCCCCTCTCCCTGGGCTGCCCATCACCCTGGCCCCCCCTTCCATCTCTCCACTTGTTGAGGTTGGCCTCCAGTTTCAGCTGCATGTGCCTCAAGGCTAGGGCTCCTACCAGCTCTTTCCTCAGCCGGCACACTTGTGTAGTCAGTGTTTACATGCGGGAGACTGGTCGTTAGACAAACCAAGACCACTTGAGTCTCCCTTGCCAGACTACACAGAAAATTAGAACTTAGCCTGTAAACTAGTCTTTTTGCCAAAGTGTGTGATACATGACTAAGGACCAAAGAAGGCCCCCAAGCAGATGTGTGCGGTTTCTTGTTTGCCTGTGGCCTGCCTCCTGTGACGCAGTGTGTTGTTGGTGCAACAGATGAATCAATAAATGTCTACAGCAGACTGCTCGCCTTCTGTTCTCATTTGCTGAGGCAAGAAAAGGATCCAAAGCTTCAAGCCATCAGACTCATGAAGTTCGTTCTATTAGAGATGGGAGGAATTGTCCCCAGGCTGTGTACAACAGACTAAGTGGCTGGTAGTCTCAGCACAGATGAGACTCTGTGGTGGTCGGGTTTGGCCCCAGGGCAGGGCACTGTGAAGGGCCGGCACCCATAGTTTTTGTCCTACTCTTCTCCCCCATCTACCTTGCTAAACTGCAGATGACATTCCAGAAGCTAGCACCAAGGTCTGTTCCCTTATGTAGTCACTTCCTCCTCCTGAGGCTGACCACCAAGGTCCAGCTATCAAAAAACTGAAGTCCAGCAATCAAAAGCCCCCTTTTGGTTACCCCATTAACATGCTCAATCAAAACAAACCAACTCACCCTAACATGGGGTTTCCCCTTGTACCTTCTTTTATAAACTGCCATTTGCCTATGGGCCATGTCTGTCTCCCCTCTATCCAGAGGTAGTCTGGAGTGCTATTTTGTGTGTGATTTAACAAATAAAGCTTGTCTGAAGATCAGAGTGCAGAGCTAAGCTACTAGTTAGCCATAGAGGCATACACCTTTAATCCCAGCACATGCTTGTAGTGCTAGACTCAGTGGATTAAAACACACACACACACACACACACACAGAGGAATGGGAGGAGTCAAGAGGGACTGAGGGGTGGATATGATCAAAATTTACATGTATGAAATCCTCAGTCCCTCTGGCTAGCCCTGTATGTGATGGAGCAACCTGTGACATGTTTTCAGCCATGTGCTATAAATACGTATAAGCAAGTAAGGGAAGTCTTGCTTTAGAATGAGATACTTTGATGGAAGACTTATTGGGTCTAGCTACTATGATCCAGGCCAGATGAGAGAAGAGACTCTGAGCCCTTTCTTTTGGTCCTGTTACCCTGGGCTTTCTGGGCCGTCCTGGGAACACAATGACTCAGTCATCAGGGGCTCCATGCTCCTGTGGCTTGACTGTAAGTCGTCCTGCCCTTCCACTGGATTCTGCCTGACTTCCTAGTTCAGGGGGAAGTATAGCTCCTTCACAGTACAGCACAGTAGAGCACCTGCCCATAGTTACCAAAGCTAACTAGTAAGGCACAAAGTAATGGGGAACTTCTGAGAACACAGGAAGGCATCTGCTCACTGCTACTTCACTTTTTATCTAAGAGAATTCTTTTAATAATCACTTTCCCCCCAAACTCTACATTGTTTTATTCTTTCACTGCTACAGGAATCTTTTAAAAGCTGGGGTTTTGCCAACCACTTCTTTTTTTAAAAATTCTAGTTGTTAATGGAACAAGCAATTTTCAGACCTAGCATGTGGCTCCTTCCAGAACCTTCTCTAATTTGAAGATGACTGTGGAACGACTGTGCCAGGCCTGGGAGGCTGAGGAAAAAGGATCATTGGTCCAGGAGTTCATGCCAGACAACACAGTGAAGCCATGGACTAACCAGTCAGACTCAGTCCAAGCAAGCAAACTGAAGGGAGTGCAGTGCTCCCTGGCACGGCTACTCGAGAGTAAGGCCCCCTTCACTGCACACAGCTACTCAAGAGTAAGGCCCCCTTCACTGCACACGGCTACTCTAGAGTAAGGCCCCCTTCACTGCACACGGCTACTCAAGAGTAAGGCCCCCTTCACTGCACACGTGGCCAGCCTTCACTGCCGCTCTAGAGCCAACGACTCAAGTGCTATCAGTGTCCACCTCAGAGATGCTCAGCAACCCAGTGAACAATGCAGAGGGCCTGACGCTGAGCCTCTCAGCAAAGCAAGCAGTTATCAGGACTCTGGCCTTAGCCTGAACGTCTGAGTTCTCTCTGGGCTGGCACCTTTAGCACTGCCATTTCAGGGAAGGGCGAGCTCAGAAGCTGGTTAGTTCCCTGGACAGAGCACGAAGGAGAAAAGCACCAGGCACCAGGTTTCTCCAAGTGTTGACCATTTATAAATAAGTACATTTGCTTTCATACATACAGTTCATTGTACAGAGGACGCTCTGTATACATGGGGCAGGAAAATGCATTCATTTGAACTTTTCACATCTATCTCACACAGCTCACATGTACAGACAATAAAACTGTTCAAGCAAGTACAGCAAAGGAAATGTCTTCCTTATACACGGAGCTAGAGGCCTCCGCTGGGTGTGGGGTGTCCCCACTGCACGAGTTCACAACTGTGTGGTGTTCAATATATTAGGATAGAGAACAAACATGCATTGGATAATATACTGTACAGAGAAAGTCCTTTACATCTGAGTTATAGAAAACCTAAAGGAAAACTAAGTGCATTAAAGCTTTTCCAGCAAGTGTCTTGAAAGGACAGTAAAGAGGAATAATCAAAATCATATTAGTACAAATCACTCTTTAATTGTAGACTGTACATGTCAGTACTAATTAAAATCATCTTGGATTTGGAGGAGACAGAACAGAGACACAGACGCTGTGCTAGATGGAAGGGAGGCCATGCCTGAAAACGGCACCTGCCCTGAGCCCCACAGGAACTGGCCTAACTCAGCAGGAATCAGCCAAATGTCAAAAAACAAAACAGAACAAAAGAAAGCAGGACAGGAAGTGTAACTTACAGGATTTCCAAAATAACCTGTGAATGGAGTGGCTATCTAGAGCCGGCATCGCTAGCTCCCCCTCCCCCCAGTGAATGGGTACACAGTAAGGCAGGTACATTCAAGTACTGAATTCTCCAGAATTAACTCTCTGTCTGGTCCTGGGGATCGAAGGGAGTGGTTTGAGTCCTAGCCAGATTTTCTGGTTAGTGAGTAGCAAAGGGAAAACCCAGCCATCAAGTGCTACACAGACAAAGCAGCTGGGCCACGCCCTCCCATGGAGTAGGTCTATCTGAAACCAGGAAATGGTGCTGGCTGGCATCTTCGTGCAGCCAGCTGCAGCCTGACTGGTCAGCTTAGCGTAGGGATCACAGTCAGCAAGAAGAAATGAGATGGCAGGGTGAGGAAACATGAGAGTAACACTTGATTTTTGGTGTCCAATTATACGTTCATTTGGTACTGACTTTCAAAGAGCTCTGGCTGCGGCCATCATGTGGCCACAAGCATCTCAGGGTGGCTCAGCTGCTGTGAGGCATTGGACACCGAAATGAAGGTTACCAACACTTCAGCCCTTGAGTGGTCTGTATTACAAAAGGAGTTGATGAAGACCCAGTGAATATTCAAGTAGCTCTGCACAGTGGCTCCACCAGCCCCGTTGTGCTTGTGTCCAGGCCCCTAGCCAGCCACCTTTTCTTGGGAGCAGCCAGAGCTGAGTTCAAGGCATTGCATGGTGAAGGTTTCCATGACGCGTCTTTGTAGGTAGCTCTTACCCCTAAGCCCTTGTTCATTGTTAGTCATGGTAGATGGTCAGTCTGGAATCCCAGAGGAAAAGGAGACGTCACACCTCTCAACAAGCACGAGGCAGGGCAGTATGGCCCTCAAAGTAAAGGCGGCAGCAGACCGCTTCTTGAGAGCTGGGCAGCCAGAGGGCAGACAGGAAGGGTGGGTGGGGCTGCTGAGCGGGGAGGCTCAACAGGAGATGGGTACAGAGGCAGCACAGTCTGCCACCTGGGGAGCCTGTTCCATTGAGTGGCAAAGATTCAGCGAGCAACTGGTTTTGTCCAAGGCATTTCTGCAGTAGAAAAATAGCTATCTTTAATCAAACCACCCAACCATGATATTTGGGGAGTTATAAAAGTCGGAGGCTGAGTGGACTGGGAGAAAGGATGCTCATGGGGAGAAAAGGCTCCTCTGCATGCCCATCTGCCAGAGAAAGGGGGCACGCTCAACTTAACCTTCCAAGCAGGTGGTGTTCAGAGTCTGTCTTGCTACAGGTGGTGTGGATGCATGAAGACCCCCCCCCCCAGGCCTCGGTTCCCTTCTTCCTGACCTCCCGTTTATGGGTCTGCCTGTTGCACTGGCAGCAGCTCCAGGAAGCCATTCTTTGTCACCAGGTAAGTATGGTGCAGAGCCACAGTGACACCTAGTGGTAGAGTATGGTGAAGCACATGTGACATCCACATATCCCACTGTGTATGACTAAACTCTAAGGAAAAATACTTATGGATATTAAATTAGACACTGGTTTAAGTTTTTCTATTGGGTATATCTCTGGAATATAAAAATACGAATATTTAGGGGGATCATAAACTACTATACAATATAAGGGCTGAGAACACCTTTCTCTGAGCTGTTCTGTTTACAATAATTTAGGACGTGTTTAATAATCCAGGCTTAACTAAAATCAGCAAACTTGGATATCTGGAAAATAACCTGGGATACTGTACACAATTCTAATTAGTGGAATTTTCCTGAGCCATCGAGTTTCAGCTAAACACCTAAGAAGGGCGCCTGGAAGAGGAATGAGGGGCTGTGCTCTATTAACTCGGGACTTTAACAATTCACGTCTGCAATCTGGACATAACAGCAGATACAAAATGATCTCCATTTGTCCATGCCGAATTCTCGTGCTACACAGGTCTTCCCTTTACTTTGTAAATAAACATTAATTTTAATTGTTACTCATGTGCCTTACTGATCCAGTAAATATAAATGAACCATGTCTCAGGAGTCCCTAAGAAAATTGCTGGAAAGCACTTTAAAATCACTGCAAATATTTTCTTGTGTTTAAAAACTCAATCTTTTTGAGGCTTATATACAAGTTATTTCTTGTGCTATAAATGCTGTGATCACTGCTTGATTTCTGTCCTTGTTTTTTTCCTTGAAAAACACACTAGAGACAAGAGTGACTCTAATTTCTAATGAAGACATTACTCACACTTAAATATCCAGTATTTATCAGAGTTACAAATCCAAACAGTAAAGTGCACCCATTTATAGACATGATGTGATGAGGCCTATTAGTGCAGGAATTGTGGGCAAAGGAACATGTTTTGGTGAGAAACCTACAAGCTGAAGTTTGTCACCTGTCTCTACTTAAGGGAGATGTGAATTGAGTGAGCAGA